AATTCATCTTGGTGCTACTACTGAATGCGGCTTCTGATCATTCACTTTTGAACACAGTAATCTCATGGCATGTTTTGTGAAACAAAAGTTCTGCCCACTAGCTGCATGTGGGGTGGGGAATGCTAAGATCTTGAGTCTAGTTAGTAGCTAGCTAAAAAATCTCCAGAGATACTTCTTTTAAGTAGGTCAGTTTGGAAACCACCATAATCACTGACTCAACTTCCATTTTACCCAAGGAAAGTTGTGCCAATTGAGATCCAAACAAAGCAAAATTAAAATTAGAGGAGGCTGGAGTGGGTGATATAGTGGATAGGGCACTTGCCTTGCATGCGGCAGACCTGGGTTTGATCCCTGGCATCCCATGTGGTTCTCTGAGCATTGCCAGGAGTTAGTTCCTAAGTGCAGAACCAGGAGTTGCCCCTGAGCATTACCAGGTGTGACCCACAAAGTAAAAAAAATACTAAAATGAGAAGTCTTAGTTTATTTAAACTTTAATAATGGCACCATAAACTGATATATATATATATATATATATGCAACAGAAATTTTGTCATTTTTTTCTAGAGGTGGGGAAGCCCAAGACAGAGGCTCCAGCAGATTCCGTTCATAGAGTCAACTATTTGCTATGGCCTCACCTGGCGAGTGCATGAAAGCATGTCTTCTGATATCTATGTAATAAAGGCACTAAGTCCATTGGGTTCCTTCCCCATGACCTAACCATCTCCCCAAGACTTATGTCCAAATACCATCACCTTGAGGATTAGGTTTCAACATAAGAATCCTGAAGGATATGAACTTTCAGGCTGGAACAGCAGGGCAGAGGGTGTGAAGCTCAGAATGCAAGCACCCCACCTTCAGCATAAGGCACAGAACATAAACCACCCTCTTTTTTTGTTAATTATTATTATTTTTTTAATTAGTGAAACACCATGAGGTACAGTTATAGGCTTATAAATTTTTGTGCTTGGGTTTCAGTTATACAATGATCAAGTACCCATCCCTCCACCAGTGCCCATCCTCCACCACCATGGGTCCCAGCATTCCCCCCCCCCCGTCCCACCCTGCCTCTGTGGCAGGGCATTTCCCCTTGTTCTCTCTCTCTTCTTTTGGGTACTGTGTTTTGCAAGAGAGGCATTGAGTGGCAATCATGTTTGGTCTATAGACTACTTTTAGCATGCTTCTCCCACCCTGGGAGAGTCCTCACAACACCCTTTATTTGGTGCTCTCTTCTCTATCTGAGCTTCCTTTTCACCTAGCAGGTGTGGCTGGCCTTCAAGTAATGGAGCAAAATTCCTGGTACTAATCTCAGCCATTCCTGGGTGTTAGTTTCCCATTTTGTTGCTTTATGTTCCCCAGATGAATACAATCTTTCTATGTCTATCCCGCTCTTTCTGACTCATTTCGCTTAACATGATACTTTCCATGTAGTACCACTTGTATGTAAATTTCATAACTTCATCTTTTCTAACAGCTACATAGTACTCCATTGTGTAGATGTACCAAAGTTTCTTTAACCAGTCATCTGTTCTCGGGCACTCAGGTTTTTTCCAGATTCTGGCTATTGTAAAGAGTGCTGCAATGAACAAACAATTGCAGATGTCACTTCGACTATACCTTTTTGCCTCTCTGGGATATATTCCCAGGAGTGCTATAGCTGGGTCAAATGGCAGATCAAATTCTAATTTTTTGAGAATCGTCTATACTGTTTTCCAAAAGGGTTGGACCAGCCGGCATTCCCACCAGTAGTGAAGGAGGGTCCCTTTCTCACCACATCCATGCCAGCACCGGTTGCTTTTGTTCTTATGGATGTGGGCCAGTCTCTGTGGTGTGAAATGATATCTCATTGTTGTTTTGATCTGCATCTCTCTGATGATTAGTGATGTAGAGCATTTTCTCATGTGCCTTTTTGCCATTTGGATTTCTTCTTTGCGAAAGTTTCTGTTCATTTCCTCGCCCCATTTTTTGATGAGGTTGGGTGATTTCTTCTTGTGGAGTTCAACCAGTACCTTGTATATCCTTGATATCAACCCCTTGTCGGATGTGTATTTGGTGAATATCCTTTCCCATTCTGTAGGCTGTCTTTGTATTTTGGTCACTGTTTCTTTTGAGGTGCAGAAGCTTCTTAGTTTAAGATAGTCCCATTTGTCTATCTCTGTTTTCACTTGCTCGGCCAGTGGTGTGACATCTTTGAAGATACCATTAGCTTCAATATCATGGAGAGTTTTGCCAACTTTGTCTTCAATAAACATTATGGATTCAGGTCTGATGTTGAGGTCATAAATCCATTTCGATCTTACTTTTGTGCATGGCGTTAGGCAGAGATCTGAGCCCACTTTTTTGCATGTAGCTGTCCAGTTTTGCCAGCACAGTTTATTAAAGAGGCTTTCCCTGCTCCATTTCACTTTTCTTGCCCCCTTATCAAAGATTAGATGATTATATGTTTGGGAGGAAATGTCAGTATATTCAACTCTGTTCCATTGGTCTGCAGCTCTGCCTTTGTTCCAGTACCATGCTGTTTTAATTATTACTGCCTTGTAGTAGAGTTTGAAGTTAGGGAGGTCGATTCCTCCCATTTTCTTTTTCCCAAGAATTGCTTTAGCTATTCGTGGGGGCTTATTGTTCCATATAGATTTCAGGAGTGTTTGCTCCATTTTTTTGAAGAATGTCATGGGTATCCTTATAGGGATTGCATTGAATTTGTACAGTGCTTTGGGAAGTATTGCCATTTTGACAATGTTGATTCTCCCCATCCATGAACAGGGGATATTTTTCCATTTCCTCGTGTCCTCTTTTATTTCCTGAAGTAGCGTTTTGTAGTTTTCTTTGTACAGGTCCTTTACTTCCTTAGTTAAGCTGATTCCTAGGTACTTGATTTTCTGGGGCACAATTGTAAATGGGATTGTTTTCTTCATGTCAGTTTCTTCTCTTTCACTATTTGCGTATAGGAAAGCCATGGATTTTTGGGTATTGATTTTATAGCCTGCCACTTTACTATACAAGCCTATTGTTTCTAGGAGTTTCTTGGTAGAGGTTTTAGGGATAAACCACCCTCTTATCATCAATGTTTATTCTATACAGTGGCAAATAATGCTTTTGGTATGTTTTCTTTTAAGAACTTCTTTACTCTTTGAAATTGGGTAATTTTTTTGGAAGCCAAATATAGGGCTTACTAAACAAAACAACAAAACACATTGAATATTGTTGAGATTCTGAAGGATTCCAGATGGAAAATAAGTACCATTTCAGCGAAGGTCCAAGTAAAGGACGAAGACTAGTAATTCTTAAATTACAGTGAGCAGAAATCTCATGAGGCAAGCTTGTTACAAAGCAGTTTTCTTGCATATAAAAATGATACTGAGATATTATCTTACACCTTTGAGAATGGCATATGTCAAAAAGAATGGAAACAACCAGTGAATAAAAGGAATCTTTTTTCATTGCTGTGAATTTTACCTGGTTCAATCTCTAAGGAAAACAGTATGGACATTTTTCAAAAAGCAACAAACTGCCATATGATCTAGAGATTCCGCTTCTTGGCAACTACCCCACAAATAAAAAAAACCCCACAATTCCAAAAGGATATCTGCACAACTAGGATCATTGCAGTGCTAAGTATAATAACCAGAATGTGCAAACAACATGCATGTCCAATGATAGATGAATGTATAAAGACATTGTGTTATATATTCACAATAGAATACTACGCACTTGTAAGAAAACAGGAAATCTTGCAGTTCACTGCAACTTGGATGGGACTGGAGTGTATCTGGTTAAGCGAAACAGCAGAGGGAGAAGGTCATTTACCTGATAACTTCATTCATCTGTGAGATACAGAGAAACACACAACAAGGGAATAGACTGTATCGAACACTGATAAACTCTTGGCCTTGGATTACAAAACTGAGATTACCAAGCAGCTGGGGGAGAAAGTAGAGGATAAAGAATGGGCTGAGTAGAAGTGGCCCAAAACTGTGGTGGAAGGGCTTGGGGGAGTTTATTTGGTGCTGGTAAAGGTGAAGTAAATTTGTCTATCAAAATCGTGTTAGGTAAAACAAGGTTGTACATCAAAATTATGTGTTACTGTAACTGTGAAACTGTAATTGTGTTAACTAAAACTCCAGTAACTTTTTTTTTTAATGCAGATTTTTTGGATTTAATTCCTCTTAATCTAGTTTAAACTTAAACTATATTGTAGGCCTTATATCCTAAACCTGAAAAAGAGATAGCCTGGAGATTGGATGTCTGTGAACCACAATTAGAGAAACTGGCTTAGTGTTTTCCTACAAGTTCCAGATATTGCTTGAATCTGAAAAGTTCTCTGGAATTCTCTTATTACCTGCCACAGGAATTTGGGATTAAGATCGAGAAAACTATTTGCCACCAAATAGTGGACACCAATCCCAACGATATGAGGATGGGGTGGAATGTGTGTGTAGGACTCACTTTGGAGCGTTTCTTAAGGAGTCTAGCAGCTCAGGCAAGCGTTGCAGACGATGTTAAGCCCTAGCCTTGTCTGGGTTGTTGTCTCCTGGGGTGATCCACATTCACACGCTCCCTTCCTCAAACCTAGCTATGGACTTTTACAAACAGTAATAAGAAAGGTGAGAAAATAAAAAAGGCTGTTGAAAAACACAGCCCCCGACCTTTTTTGCGGGGGCAGAGAGGTGGGGGCAGGTAGATCCTGGTTCATCGCTGTGTTTTGACTTTTTCGTAACCTACCAGTGCCCCTCTTTCTTCTGAGGCCACCCTCCCTCCCAGAATGTGAAGGAACCCCAGCAAATCAGATAAGCAAATCCTCAACTCTTAGCCAAACAAGATTGCCCAGGGGAATCCTGTGTGGTGAAGCTGTCCTCTCTAAGGGTTGAGGGTTTTAAAGTGGGGGTTGTCCTCTTTGCTGCTTCCAGCGGATTCCTCCAACCCCATCCCCACCCGGGACCCCAGCCAGGGTGCCCGCCTCTCTGGTCAAAGGCCAAAGGCGGCGGTGCCCAGGGTCCGGGAGGCTCAGCTGCTTGGGGTGCACGTGACTCTGCTCTGCTCCCTTGACCGCACAGCCCGGGCTCCCCAGGCACGAGTGACCCCGGCTGCTCTGGGTAAGCGCCTGGCCAAATCCGGATCTGCTGGTGCAGGGCAGGGGAGGGGGCTGGGGAGGGAGGGAGGGGATCGGGTAGGGCGCCCTCTCCTCTCCGGGAGCGCAGAGGGCCCAGACCCACGGCCCAGTGCGTGTCCCCCTCTGCATCCCACCGGGACAGGGCTGTCTGCGGGGGGCGTACAGGGCTGCAGCGCGGCCGGACTAGACCCGGGCCCCCAGCTGGCCCCTGTCCCTAGCCTCCTGGTGCCCTTGGACACGTTGCCGGGGCTCAGCCAGGCCGCGCGGCGGTTCTTGGCAAGCGCGCCATGTGGGGCGGCCAAGCCCGGCTCCCTGCTTTGTGTTTGCAGCTCCCGAACCCGCTCTAGATTAAAAAAAAAAAAAAGAAAGAAAGAAACCACCGCGAGTGGGGAGCTTTGGGGCCCGGGAGGACTTTGGATCCCCAGAGTCTGGGGTGGGGGTGGGGACAGGGACGACGGCCCGGACAAATTCCCTTCCTCTGAAAACTAGGGTGCACGTGGACGGTACGTGCGCAGCGGCATCCCTGCACCCGGGTTTGTCAAGACCTCCTGCACTTTTCAACTTTTAACTGTAGCCTGGAGAGGATGTAGGTGGTGGTGGTGTTAGAAATGCGATATAAACAGCAGTTAAGGACACATTTATTAACATGGAGGACACGGAGATAGCACAGTCGTGCACAGTGTATTTCTTTCCTTTGGGGGGGAGGGGGGATTTAATACTAAGAGAAAAATAAAAGCAAACTGAAAAACATCCCGAGGCCTCTTCCTCCAGTCCCACTGTCTTCATCCGGGAGCACATAGGTTTACATAGTTGCAATTAGCGGTACTTGCCATTCTGATTTCAAATTTGGAACAAGGTCGGTAAATGATATCCCTACAGAACGGAAGTCTTCATTAGTTCTGAGGGGGGGGAACCCTTCACAATACATGCACTGGGAGTTACAAGATTGTATCATGCTTTCAACCTATATTGTAAAAGTTTAAAAGGATAAAGGAGATGAAAGGCTTAAGAAGAACCCTCACGAGACATGGAATATATATTCATTCACTTTTTGTTGTTTTGGCATCTTCCTGGAAAACCAAGGGCAAATTTCTTTACAGAGTCACTTTGATCTTTCTGCTCTCAAGAAAATAACCCTGAGTCGACCCCGTACTAGTAGTTTGAGATCTAATATTTCATCAAGTATTTCTTACCCCCTAATCTGCATTTAATCAGAGGCGTCAGGTCTCTGCCCACAGTGCTTTCCCCCTTGCCTTTGCTAATTCCTTATTAAGGTCTCTGTTCAAATACCCATTTCCTGTCTGCCCTCCTGCCACTGCAAAGTACTAACAATTTTGTTTTCTTCAAAGTACTAAATTCTTCATTTCCTTAGCGCTTGCTGCCCAGTCAGTCATGTAAGACTTCTTACTGTTGTGTTCTAGAATCACCCACTGGCTAGAACCAGGGGTTTAGTAAACACTAAAAAAAAAAAAAGCGCGACATCTTATTACCTCATTCCTACTTTGGACAAACTTGCAGGCTATCCGAATGTAGCCTGCCCACAGGGCAGAGTCTGGCAAACTCCCCGTGGCCTACCAAATATGCCAAATACCAGTAACAATGATGGGTCTCATTCTCCTAAAGAGCCGTGAATATAATCTCAGGGCTAGGATGAAAGAGACGTTACTGGGGCCTGCTTGAGGCAATCGACGATGATGATGAAAAAAAAAAAAGTCACAGTTAACAGTGGCTTTGGGACCACTTGCTCAGTGACTGTGACCCTCAGGGAAACATCTTGGGCTCCCTGCTCAACATCCCTGGCAACTATTGCTGGTTCTACTGGCGTTTCCTGGGATGAGGCCTGGCCCACTGTGTCCCGGCTTTAGGGCATTAGAAACTAAGATCTCTAGAGCTCAAAGCATCTGGGCCCTTAGGCAGTTCTCTTTTTCCTTGGGGGCAGGGAGCGAGATGGAGCCTTATCCAGAATTTGGACTAGCTCAGGACAACTGGGATTCTCCCCCTGGGGCCTGGGGCCTGGGGCCTGCTGGCCCAAGAGCCCTTACCGACCCTTTAGCACTTCCCAGTGCTTGGCTGCGTGCACAAGGTCCCAAAGTTCCCGCTGGGAGCTGCTGGTGAAGGATGCTCTGTTATTGTTGGACTCCAGGCTCGGGGAATAATTAGGGGAGTGACATGCTGCTAACATCCCAGGCCTTCCCTTGTGAGCCTGGCGGGCCATGGAGCTGGGATTGGCGGGCTTGCTGGCAGAGGCCACGGATTCCTGTTGATTCTATGTGGTTCACTTCTCAGAGAAGGCTTTGATGAGGAAGAGGCAGAGGCAGGGAGTGGGAGCAGAGAGGCTTGGAATTTCCGGGGGTTAGCTGGGGATTGATTGTTGTTAAGGGACCCACCCCACTTCTACCCCCGCAGGGCAGTACCAAGGTAGAGTGTCCTAGGGCCAGCTTGCTTCTCTCTTCAAGGCCACACAGATCTCCTCGGCTTACAGACTCCCTATGGAGTAGGAGGACTTGGAAAGGGCAGCTGGGGAGGAAACCTATGTTCTGGGAACTACCAGTTGCTAGAAGGAAGTTTTCCTTTAAGTTCCACATGGTGGGTACAATGGGGTGTTGAATAAATGTTCAGTGGGACTGAGAAATTGCATGGAGGTAAGATGCTTTCCTTGTTTGGCCAACTTGGTTGGTTCCAGATATTAATGTTCTACTGATTGCTCTGAAACCTCTGGCATTAATTATCTTAGTAAAGGTAAAGGTAAAGGCCCTCCCGTTGTTCCTCGATTTGCTCGAGCGGGCCCAGTAATGTCTCCATTGGAGACTTTGTTGTTACTGTGTTTGGCATATCGAATACATCACGGGGAGCTTGCCAGGCTCTGCCGTGCGGGTGAGATACTCTCGGCAGCTTGCTGGGCTCTCCGAGAGGGGCGGAGGAATCGAACTCGGGTCGGCCATGTTGGCTGCGTGCAAGGCAAATGCCCTACCGCTGTGCTAAGAATTCTTTTTTCTCTTTTTCTTTTTTTTTTTTTTTTTTGCTTTTTTGGGTCACACCTGGCGATGCACAGGGGTTACTCCTGGTTCTGCACTCAGGAATTACTCCTGGCGGTGCTCAGGGGACCATAGGGGATGCTGGGAATCGCACCTGGGTCAGCCGCGTGCAAGGCAAACGCCCTACCCGCTGTGCCCCATTAGTAAGAATTCTTGAGTGCAGCAATGGAAGTGTTTGGGGGAAATTCAAAGACAAGATAAATGATGATTTCATAAACACTCAGAATTTGAACTGGGCTTCAAATTTGAATAAAGACAGGGGAAAGCTGGAGAGAGAACTCCAGGGCTGGTTCAAGCTTTGCCTGTTGAGGCCGAGTTCCATCCTAGCATCACACACAGGATCCCCTGAGCACCTTTGGGTATAGCTCACCCCCCCCACCCCCTCTTCCCCAGGAGTGGGGGGCATTAAGATGGGAAAAGAAGTATGTGGGACTCAACCCTGAGTGAATTTAAGCAGATAAAGGTGGCGTAGAAAGCTTTTGAGGCCTTTGGGAGGAATGGAAAATAGTTGCTACAGTTTATCTGGATTTTTGTTTTTTAAAGTTTGTATTTTATCGTGTTTTTGGGACTGGCTGTGCTCAGGACGTTACTTTAGGGGCTATGCCCAGGGGATTTTGGTCCCGGGATTGAACTTGGGCACTCGCATGCAAAGCATGCTGCAGCCCTTTGAGCCAGTCCCCTGACCCCATATTTTTTTTTCAATTGTTAAAGGAAAACAACTGTGCTTGACAGCTGTGGGTGCCCCAGAACTGCTGGTTTGAGATGTTCATAGTTTTCACAATAGACAGTGCCTCAAACACTTGCATCCTCCTGTGGGAAGCTGCGCGTGGGGTAGTTGCTGTGATAAAAGTTGAGTTTCTGGTTGAAAATTAGTCTAGAGGAAGAGCTGAGGGAAGCAGTGTCTGATCTGCTCCCAGAGTTTAAGAAGCTGAACAGATTTCACGTATGTCCTATAAACAAGAAATTGCATATATATATTGCTTTTTGGGTCACACCCAGCGACGCACAGGGGTTACTCCTGGCTCTGCATTCAGGAGTCACCCCTGGCGGTGCTCAGGGGACCATATGGGATGCTGGGAATCGAACCCGGGTCGCGTGTGTACAAGGCAAACTCCCTACCCGCTGTGCTATCGCTCCAGCCCCGAAATTGGGTATTTTTAAGGATGAAATACATTAATATATCATGTATTATTTTTGCAATGTAGGACCATAAAATATGCTACCTTATTAGGACATTAGCATTATGTAGTTTGAATCTCATCACTTAACCAATAACACGGTGACATAGCCTTTTATTCACAGAGCGCTGTTATGAAGACACCAGGGTAAAGTCATATACCCAAAGAGTTTGGGAATCTTGTCTTTAATCTAGTAGAAAATTTCCATACATTTTCAATAACTTTAAATACACCAGACACGAAATTGGGGGGAAGATGAGAAGATAGCATGTTTTGCTTTGGTGTTTTCTAACGTAAACAACTTTATTTTTCTGCTTATAAAATGAGCATGTACTCTGTAGCACTGTAGCACTGCCTTCCTGTTGTTGTTCATCGATTTGCTCCAGTGGGCAGGAGTAACATCTCCATTGTGAAACGTCTCCATTATGAAACTTGTTACTGTTTTTGGCATATTGAATAAGCCCCGGGAGCTTGCCAGGCTCTGCCTGCAGGCGGGATACTTTCTGTAGATTGCTGGGCTTTCCGAGAGGGATGGAGGAATCGAACCCTAGTCAACCGCAAAATAAAGTCTCCATATTTTCGTCACCCATCAGAAATAACAGCTGATAATGATTTGTGGATTTTATGCAAATCGCAGATCTTTTTCTGGAATAACATTTATTTAAGGAAAAAAAAAGGAATCGTATAAATGATCTCTTAGAAAAATGGGATCATGTAAATTCTATTGTGTTTTTGGATTAAATGCCACTTACATCTGCCATGCCATCTAC